ACATGGTCAACTACATGTGTTGCTAGGAATATGCAAATTTGAGGAAATTTTGAGAAATTATCGTTGATTTTTGTATGCTCATACCCAAAATCGAGCGATTTTTCATAATATAGTGCGGAAACTTACGAGCTCAGTTGAGGAAACCAAACATATATTCCCATACTGTTCGTATGTAAACTTCTATAGTGAGCATATATTTCTCCAACTCTGTTTACTGTAATTCTCTTTCTCAGGCGATTTCGATGGTCCTACCAGAAGTAGTGGGTTTTCGTCTCACTGGAAAGCTTCCGCCGGGCGCGACAGCGACTGATTTGGTGCTCACTTGTACAAACATGCTGAGGAAACGAGGTGAACGCTCAAGGGGGAGAGATGCATATGGTCAACCACATATGTTGGTGATGACAATGTGAAAAAATTGTGAGGAAATTCTGCTTGGTTTCTGTCCCAGGTCGTATATGAACTCTTATGATTAGTGAGGAAACTCCTAGGATCAGCTGAGGAGGGCGATTACATATATTCCTCCAACACTGTGCATGCGAAATTGTCATATAATTTTGTGGCGCGTGAAAAAATCTCTCTTATTGTCTTTTTATTGGCCTGTCACAGTTTGTGTAAAAACTGTGCGAGTGTGGATCACAACAAGCATAGATAAGATTGACTAATGGAGTTTCACAACAACCCGTTTTACGCGAAGTGGCGTCGTAAAACTCTGTAAAAAACTCGATATTCGCGGTGATATGCAGTAGTAGTCGTGGAGTATGTTTTTTTTCATACCCTGGGTAAAACTCCAATGAAATTAGCAAAGTTGCATAAGTTTAGTTTTCAGGTGTTGTGGGAAAATTTGTGGAATTTTTCGGTCCGGGCTGCGCGAATCTATCACTAGCCGATCGCGCGACAATAGCTAATATGGCTCCTGAATACGGGGGGACTATGGGGTTCTTCGGGGTGGATGAGAAGTCGTTGAACTATCTGCTGCAAACGGGCCGATCGAAGGAGACTGTGGCTAACGTGGAGACCTATCTAAGAGCACAGGGCATGTTTCAGGTGAGATGTGAATGTGTTTTGGTATTGGTAATATTCACTAGTGTTGAAAATATGTCCCTGGTAAACCACGTGTGTTGGTGACAATAAGTGAGTAAATTTCAGGAGATTCTTGTTGGTTTTCGTATACTTTT